ACGCAATTCCTGAAAATTATCCCAGTTTGCTTTTCTTCCCATCGAAATTGGCAGGCGGACAGGAAACGCTACAATTATGACGATGGACCTGTCACTCGCAGAAAAATTATTACCACGAACGAAATGTTTCCCAGAGTCATGAAATCTCTAAATTTATCAGGAGAAAAACACTAATTAATTCGTCTGCCTCCATGAAAAAACCCAGACTTCAAAACAAACCAACTTTCTCCATGAAAAAACTTATGCCCCATTTCACTCCAGACTTGTTTATTGGTCGAGATCAACCGCAAAATCGGATTCTTTATTACGATGTAGATGAGGAGAAAGTTAGCTAAATTCTCACTTTGCCCGGCTCCACGTTAATTGCACATCTTACTTTCTCCACCCAGAATTCAGTAGTTGATAAAATATGAAAATCTCGTACTTTATGAGCAGAAGGAAGTAAGCTGGATTCTCACTTTGCCCCATGCTAATCTCAAATTCTGTCCTAGTTTCTCCACTGAGAATTTCCTTACTATTATCAATCTATCAAATACAAAAATCTTCGTTTTGTGAGCAACTAATCAAGTAGAAAGTAGTCTGAATTCCAACTTTTCCCCATTTTTAATCTAAGATCGAATCTTGTCCTACTTTGTACACTGAAAATTCACACCGAGGCAATTCACCCAGTCTTTGGTAACTTCGTAAAATCCGTGCATCTTGTAACATAAGATAAACTTTTACAAAATAAAGAGATGTCCCTGATAACGCTCATTATTACCAAACACAAGTGCTTATGTTCTTCCAATATTTCCTAAATGTGGGAAAAAAACAATTTCCTGGGGGGGGGGGGGTGAGAATAATACCGTGTTGTTTTTTCACAATTTAACAAATTTTGAAAAAAAATGTCTCACTTTTCCTTAAATGAATAGCATATCAACCTACTGTCCGCGTACTCGGCTCTGTCATCTCATTTGCATAATTTAACGCATTCGTGAGAGTCATAGAGTTTACTCAACATGGAAAGCTCGTATCGCCGAAAATGGGCTATTGAGATTTATGCAAATGAGGTGACACGCCTAAATGCGAGGATAGTAGGTATGTTGCGAACCAACCATCTACCAGTTTTTAAATTGAAGGTGATCTTACTTAAAATATTTTAAATGGCGTTAAGTGTTAGACAAATTTCAAAAAATGATATCAAGCTTAAAAATAAGCTCACATATTTCGTCGCGATAAAATAGTGAGACAATTCACGCAGTCCGTGGTAACTTTGTAAAATCCGTTTTGTAGCATAATTTTACAAACTTTTATAACGTAAAAAGACATCCTTAATCTGATCAAGTTTGCAAAAATTTGTAAGCTAATTTTCCTCAGAAATATTTTCAAAATTTTGCAAAAATTTGTGAGTTTACAGATTTTACAAAGTTACCAAACCCCTCGTGAGTTGCCTCTTTGACTATTAGTCCTTCAAACACAAAAATCTATTTACTGCTTTATGACCATCTGATCAAGGAGAAAGTATGCTGAATTCTCACTTTGCCTCATTATTAATCTCACATTTCCCCCTATTTTACTTTCTCCACGATTCAGTGGAGCGGATCCCATTTATTACTTTCTTCTCCCTCAAACCACGATAATTTTCATCCACTTGATATACTTTGCGATGAAGTGGATGAAAATTCTGGGAAATTGAGAGGCTTCTCAAGTCATGAAGAGGAGAAAGCAGTCTGCCCTTCAAGTCGGGATTCAAGGTGAGATTTAATTTCAAACGTGGGTGTGTGAGCGGGGGACGTGCAGGATGAAGGTCACCTTGTGATATTACCACGTTGGTGACGATTTATAACCCAAAAGGAGACAATAAGTTGTCATGACATTGTTCAAATTTGCAATCAATTCGTTACGATAAAGTTGAAAAATTATTGTCAATTGGGGTATTCATTACGAATTTTTATGTTCGCGACATAATTTCGCAAAATATATTTGCTAACGAAATGCTAGGGGTATTCATTACGCGTTTGCATCATTAACAAAAATAAACAAATAAAGTTTGCAAGTTCGCAAAAAAAATTACTTGAAAATTTCTTTGCGAAATTGCCAACTTTTTTTGCAAATGTGCGAACGATACGAACTCGTAATGAACGCGCTCAATGAATTAGACTTGCAAAATTGTTCTCGACGCGGTAATATCACACATAATTATAAGGTTTGGCTGTATTTAATTTTCATATTTAAGTAATTCTCGATTTTCGTTTGTGCAAAACGTCAATAATTAAAAATTGTAAAGGGTTACACATGTTTAAGAAATGTAGATGGATTGTATCACCTTGCTCACGAAAATTACTTTATCTTATCAAAACACGAAAATTACTCTATCTTATCAAAAATTTGAAATATTTAACAGTGAAATGATTTATCTAATTAGACCCTGGCTCAAATTGCTACATATATTCAACCTTAGAAATTTTATATTTTCGGGTTTAAAAAATTTGTTGCATTTTTGAAATTTAAAATTTTGGTTTAAAATTTTGGTTTAAATTTTAGTTTAATTTTAGTTTAGTCGCAACATGTCCAATTTTTGATGGAATAAGAGATATATTTATTTTTAAGTCGGTATGAACCCTAACTATATAGTACGTCCTTTATGCTTCCCTGCATAATTCAGACTTGAAATCAAGGTCATTTTAATGACATCTCAAAACGATGGTAGATACAGTGAATTAATGACGCTTCTCAAAACAATGCACATCTTGTCCCAATTTCGGGGCAATAATGGAACAATAATAATGTTCTTAAGGATGACAAGCTAATTAATTTCTATTGTCTGAACAGATGCGTTCATTCACGTGTGCATATTAAGATAAGGAAGTCATTCAATTGTCACTTTGTACAAAATTCGTCTCATTTCAGTCCAAAGTCACCCCAGGGTTAAAATAGAAAGTGGAAAGGTAAAGTTGCAGATAGAAATTGGACCGGAAATTGGGACAGTTTGTCACGTGGTGAAATTGTCCTGTTGCCCATACTGAAACTACTCTTTAGTTGAATGAAGATAAAACTGGTAAAATAATATTGTAGATTCACGTTTAACTCCCGGCCCTATAAATTTGTGGTTCAGAATTTTAAAATAAATTCCCAGAGCGGGGAAATACTTAAAATATATGCTGATTTAGACAATAAGTCATTCCTACATTAACTATACTCTGAATAATCCGGTAAAGTCACGCAGGTAATGATTTCTCGGTAATAAATTTGTTAATAATATTTTACCAGTTAGTAAAAATTCATTACCATGATGGTAAAACTTTATTACTAAGCCATTACCACACGGTACAACTTATCATTACCACTTTGGTAGAGTCATATACTTGTGCTTTTCGGTAATGTTTTGTTACAAGACAATATCTCTAAAACCTGGTTTTTAGTCATTATTATTAAAAATTCATCATTTTCAGTATCGGCGAAATACATCTGCAAGTCTCGACTCGCCCCAGAAATATACCTCCTACATGTTGTTATACTACCGGAAGTAACCCCAAAGAAAAGATAATTTCTGTAATAAGATTCACATGTTGTCACTTCTCCAAATCTTCTTATAATATCTTGTCATGATTTTTGCTATATTATATTTTAACCCGTAAAATTTGTCATTAATTTCCACGTATAATACCAACCACACAATAACAAATGTATGTATGTATGTATTGTGATTCAAAATGTATTGTGACTAAAGTATTATTTTTATTCCAGTTTGTTCTCTTCAGTTTGTGCCAAATTTTTGCTAAAGTGATGCAAAAACACTTGAGATGTGTGCAATATGAAAATAGATGATGGTTAAAAGGAAGAAACGTTGCAAGGGTGGCAGTACCCGATGAATGTATCAAGATCCCCGCCTGATTTTACTCGGTGGCCCCATTTACGCCAATCACACCCACTCAAAATGGCGAAAAAACATGTCCTATTTTCCCCCTTTAAACCATTCCCATAAATTCAATTTTACCTTTCGGATTTAAATTTTCTTTTAACTCTTGATAGTTCGTTTATGATATCAAATGTCTAACTCGACTTTTTTGAAATTTTCATTTTTATAAAGACATGAAATTTTCGAAGATATTAGACAAAAACAAGTTACAGGTCGGACAAGATAAAACATCTATCTAGGATCAAAAAATCAGAAAATTCAAAAATTATCAAAATTATCAAGTAAACCTGGGATTTTTGGCGAACATTTTGCCAAACTTTTACTAGTTGCGATTCCTTTGAGTGGGTGTGGCGGGCGCAAATAGGGCGCAAATGTGGCGCAAATGGAGTAAAATACTCTATACACTCACCGACATAAGTACCACGACATATAGGATCCACATCAAAATGGGCTTTCCTCTTATTTAAGATAATATTGAAACGGAGAAAGTGGTGAAAGTGCATATAGCACTTTCTCTTCCCCTCCGACCCGTCTCATTTTATTGTCTATTTCTCAAGTACAAATGCAGAAATGAACTTAAAATCAGTTATCACTACTTTCACTTTGTTCCCTTCTACGACACTGCGTTATGTGAGGAGAAAGAGTAAAATTTACATGCTTTCTACTCCTCATAATCTATCCATAATGTTTAATTTTGCATAAAATTAACCTCCAAACGAAGGAATATGTGCGTTTTTTATCGCTACTTTCACTTTGTTAACGTCCTCCACTCCTCGAATATACATAAAATTACGAGGGAGAAAGTGTAAAATTTATGCAGTAAAATTCGCATAAAATTAACTCCCAATTGAAAAGCGATGTGTGTCTGGGACGTAAATTTTGCCCAATTTTTTCACCCTAATGACACAAAGAGGAGGATTTTACTCCACTTTTTGGGGAATATGAGTACCCAATTAGGTATCAAGTCGCCCCACGATTAGTTAACCAAGAAATAAGCATTTTTCTATCTTAGATGCGTTTAATGAATGTTAAATATGCTTATGTTACGACGTATTTAAGAGAAAGCGGATGAGTGAAAGTGAGCAAAAGTGGCTTTACGTACCTTGTGCCTCTCTCACTTCTCCCCAGAGGAGGACCAACGCCACGAGACAGATCATCCCCACAAGTCGGCAAGTTGAAGAAGCATTGTTTGAAACCTTGTTTGTCATGGTGGACATTTTTTTCAGCTTAAAATCCTTTCTTGACCTACAAAAATATGTAAAAATTTGAAAAAATGGCATAAAACAAAAAAAACACTACATGTTTTTACCTGATTAAATTTCTTCTCAACAAACTCAACTGCTTTCACTTCCTCGAAACCTGGTTGATTTTCTCCTCAAAAATTTCTTCGATTTCTACTGCTTTCACTGCGTCGAAATTATTTAGAATATTTTTTTTTCGAAGTTATTTTTTCAAAATTTTGAAGACTTTTTTTTTGAACTTGTATGTTCTATTCGTTTTGGAGGAGAAATCGAGAATGCGTCAGTGGGGCTGTGTCCTAGCTCATTTTATACTTTCATCGACTCCCCGAGAAATTCGGGGCTACCTGGCGCTTGGTTTGGCTTGGGTTCTGTCTTCCTTGAGGGGACCATGCGGAAAGCACGTGGCATAATTTCTCCCCTTATCTTTAAGGTCAATCTGAGGTGACCTTAGATGACCTTGACCTTAGTTGACCTCGGGAAAAAAATATGCCCAAATCCACCCCCTCAGTTTGCACAGCCCCTGCCTGTTGCTTTCACGAGAGGCGAGTGAGAGACATTTATCAGTGTCGTGAAAACCGTCATCAGGGATCATTACATGAGCCGCAAGTTGCCCAATGTGCCCACATAATAACCAACCAACCTACGTGGGATGACGACCAGCTAACTACTCACACTGCGAATAATGTGGGGACAAAATCGTCTGCGATGGGAATTCAGGCAGGCTTGGGTAACAATATAAAATCCGTAAACTTATACACTTTTACAAAATTTTGGAAATATTTCGAAGGAAGAAGCTCCCAAATTTTTGAAAACTTGCTCAGATCAAGGGCGTCTCTTTATTAAGGGGTGAAAACCCCTTTATGGAAATGTCTTGTCTGTCTGTCTGTCTGTCTGTCTGTCTGTCTGTCCGTATCCACGATAACTTTAGAACGGATTCGAATTTCGACATCCGGTTTTCGCCAACGTGTTTCTAATTTTTGGGGACGGGATGAGTTCGAAGATGGGCGTTGTAGGTCATAAGGTCACGGCGCCACGGTGATGACGCCAACGGTCAAAGGTATCGAATTTTTAGTTTCCACCGTTTTAGACGTATTTTTGGATGGGGATTTCAGAAATCACCATCATTTCGACGTGCGACGACCGTGTAGACGACGCCAAAGTCGAAAATTGTCGAATTTTTTGTTGCCACAGTTTTAGACGTATTTTTTGGCGGGGATTTCAGAAATCACCATCATTTCGACGTGCGACGACTCCATGACCGTGTGGGAGGTGTCGAATGTCGAAAAAATGACTTTTGTCATATGGGGTGTCTATTGAAAGGTATTGTCGTGTACGTTTGAAGTATGCGGGTGGGGGTGGGCAAAATGAGACGTGGGGTGATGTGAGACAATGACGGGAAAGTGAAGAAAGACGTTGTGGGCGTGCCACAAAGACAATTCCGTGTGTTTTCACCCCTTTGCTACATTTCGTTTGCAACGGTTTATTTTGTAAAAGTTGAATTATTGAATTTTAAATTGTTTAATTATTTTACAAAATGCCCAAATTTTACAAAGTTTAAGCTAATTTTGATTAGAAATATTAGTAAAATTTCGCAAAAGTTTGTAATTTTACGGAACTTATTCAATGTCATGTCTCTTTTCGTAATTTCTTTAGAGTATCGTAGAGAAGAATGTAAATTTTGCATTTAACATGTACCTTTTAAACGTCATTTGTAAGCTTTTCGAAATTTTGTAATACACTAAAATATAATCAGATGGGCGACTGGTTTTCGGTATTCGTTAACGGATTTTGAACAACTTTGTAAAATTACGTTACAAAAACCACGGACTTTACAAAGTTACCAAGGACTGCGTGAATTGCCTCAATATTTTGATGCCAGAATTAGGTGCCAAATTTAAAAATTAGCAAATTACAGGGGCCGAGGACTAATTAGATAATGTGAAAGAAACATCCCTGTTTAAAACTGGTCATCAATTTGTAACATTCAAACTTGCAATTTTTTTTACACATTTTTATAAAAATGAAGAGACTTTATTTGAACACATTTGCAATAAATTTTTAGATAATTTTTCTCAGAAATATTTAGAAAAATGTAAAGGCTGCAAGTTTACGGAATTTACGGAATTTTACAATGTTACCAAGTACTGCGTGAACTGCATCATTATTTGCTAATCGACTCTTAAATCAATTTCTAAATTTTCATAAATCCAAATTTCGGACAGAATTTTTTCTCGTTAACAAAACGAGTAGAAACTTTTTTGTTCCCGGATTATTAAGCGTGTATCAATTTTATTATTGCGAGTGGGCATTATTTTCTGCCCTTTCTCCTTTCCGCGTGGCTCATCCCCCTCGAAAATTATCATCCGCAACGTATCACATATTGCGACATGTTAAGTGTGATAAGTATACAAAATGGGGTTTGACATTTTCCAAAAGTGTAAATTTGACGTAAATAAATTTTGCAAAGTGCAAATTTTACTAGAACATAATTAATATGCATGCTACGTAAATATATCTTCCCGATTTTTTTGTAAAAAAAGTCCACATTTTATTTCCTGGGGGTGTTTTTTTGCGAAGGTCAAAGTGATCTATTTTTGTAATAAAAGTGTAACGTATTTTCCAATTTATTATGAAATTAGGGTGTATTTTATCATAGTTGATAGTTTTTGGGAGAAGTCGAGGGTCTACATTTTCTAAAAATAGGGCAGAAATGTATTTTATCATAGTTGATAGTTTCTGGGAGAAATCGAGGGTCTACATTTTCAAAAATAGGGCAGAAATGCGGAAATCAAATATTTGTGAAAGTAGTAAAAATTAAATTATATAATTTGCAAGAATAAAATCTTCGAAATCTCAAAATATGAAAGTAAATTTTACTAAATAAATCACAAAAGTTAAAAACTGACCACTTTTCCTACCACAAGGCTCACTTTCACTTCTACTTTCTCTTCCATCAAATAACTTAACGTACGCAAAATACATGTAAATTTTCATCCAACATTCCTTCCGCCATTTGCATAAGTGGTAAGGCACCACAAATTAACGCAGAATACAAACCTCATTGCCTTCTAGATAATTGTTACCAAATCGGTCACAATATGTAAATGAGCCTAAAATTCAAACTTTCCTCAACAATTATTGCTACTAAAGTGGTAAATCCTAAATTCCCGTTACAAAATAGCGGTGGTCAAGCTTAAATTTCATGCATAATTCTTGTTATCGACGTTAAAAAAAACATAAAATTTGAATTTCATGTACAATAATTGCCACCAAATCGTCACAAGATTTGAATTGCCCTCAACAATTACTCTTACCAAATCGTTTCATATGAGCCCAAATTTATTAGAATTTTCCTCAACAACCATTATTACCAGCGCGGTAAAGCCTAAAATCATTATTACCAACATGTACAACCGCTTAACCTTTCTCCCCACATTTACAGTAGTAGGTACTTCATTTCACTTCATTCCATTCCATTTCACTCGAGTGGACTCATTTATGGCGATGAAGTGGTGGTGACGACGACGATGATGAATGCAATAATGAAGTCGGGTGAAAGCAGGATTACTTTGCGGTTTGGTTTTATCCTCGTATATTTATTTATTGGTTTTCATACCCCGTTTTCATACCCCGTACGCGTTATTCCTTCCGTGCCCATTCTCTCCTAACGCCCACCGACCGACGACCGACACAGGGGAACAAAACCACAAAACTATTACGCCAAAGGAGACTGGGTCGTGCAGTAAGATCGTGACAAAAATTTTCGTCATTACAGTATGACCACTTTGTTTTTTTATAAAAAAACTGGGATCTAGATTGAACCGAGTTTAAATCCATACCTGTTCACTTTCATTCACAATTATGACAGTGAGTGATAGTGAATGAAAATGAATATGCTGTGATTTGAATGAAAATGATTGAAAAATTCCATTATTTCAGATGATTGATTGAAGTCTGAATGAAAAGATTTTTCACTCGTTTCATTTTTCACCTATGTTTAATACATGGGGCGAAGTAAGAAATGAAGTCCGATGAAGTGAAGTGAAATGAATTTGGAAGAAAAAGACTGAATATGAACGAGAATCTTCAGTCAGAAATCGGGATGACTGACTTTTGAATGAAGCTAAATTTTTGTGATTTGTTATTTTCATTAATTGATTGATTGATTGAAACTTTATTCGGGTGTCTAACAAGTTTACAGTGACAAACCATGCTCTTCCACCAGTGGCACATATAATAAACACTTTATATTATTTTTGTTATATTTATGTTTAACCCTGCTTTAAAGAAAAAAAGTTAGCAAGTTAAAAGTAATTTGATAAAGTTTAACGCCGAATTATAAATTTTAGAGATTTTGACAAGTTTATTAAAAAACTAGATAAGTTTTCGGAAAAATATTGTTTTATCTCTCAATAAATTATCTCTCAAAACTGGATGAGTAGAGAGCTGTTTTAATTAAAGAGGAAACAAGAATTGGACAAATTTGTGCTAAAATTTTGCACACGTTTGCCGGATTTGGTAAAAAAAGGTAATTACGCTTCACACTTTAACCCTAGTTTATCGAAAACAAAGTTAGCAAGTTAAAAGTAATGTGATAACGTTTAAAGCCAAATTATATATTTGGAAGATTTCAAGTTTGAAATAAAAATGTAGATTTATCAAATCAATACTAGGTTTACTAGAACTGTTTAACTACTAAAATTGGGCAAATTTCTGCTAAAATTTTGCACGATTTTGTAAAATAAGTGATCACATTTCTATACACTTTAACGCCAAAGGAGAAACTTTTGAATATTTTTACAAGCTTAAATTTAAAATGTAGATTAATCGGGTCACTTTCTCAGAACTGTTTTAATTAAAATGGAAACAATGGGACAAATATGTGTTAAAATTTTGCACAGAATTTGCTCGATTTTGTAATAAAATTTATTGCTTCTGAAAACCTTAACGCTAAAAATATAAATTTTGAAGATTTAGATAAGTTTCAGATTGCAATTAAGATAGAGGCTCAATTTCAGCAAACTATTTTAATTAAAAAGGAAACAAAAGGTTGGCAATTCCTGTTAAAATTGTGCACATATTTTGCAGAGTTGTTTTTAAAAAAAGTAATTACCTTTCAAACTCTAACGCCAAAATATAAATTTTGAAGATTTTGACGACTTTAAAACTAAAATGTAGGTCATATTTATCCTTTGAGAAAGTTTGAGAATTAAAACCTGAAGGAAAACGGGAAATTTTTTACACTTCACGCAGGCCTTGTGTTAACTTTGTAAAGTCCGTAAATTTT